TTTTTTTTGCTTTGCCAGTCTTGAGCTTAGGAGCTGACAGACACAGTGATTCTTTCAGTCCCAGGAATGAGACAGTCACCTCCCTGTGCACACAGTTGTTCCCTTCCCCATGGTTTTACACAGCTCGGAGTTTGCACAAGCCCTGGTTACTGCTAGATTATCACCCTGGCTTTCAAAGCCACAGAACCTGTAACATAAACATTGACTCTCATAACACCATTTAAGAGTCTGCGTGGTTAAAGTCACCACAGTGTTTTCAGATCAATGGGAAGGAACTTTGGACCTGTTCCTGGTGGTTCAGCATTTATCTTCTCATTCTCAACCAACTGTCTTGGGTTCACAAAGGTCCACACACACCAGTTCTATCCTGTGGCTTTTCAAGCCAGAGTGGAAGGATATGAGGGGAAGAGACATAAGCAGTCTGGAAATATCATGAACTGATGCTGTGAGAAATCCATTTGGGAAAGACTGTGCTCTGGGGAGCTGTTGTGCCCCCTGAGGTCTGGCTCGCGGTACTACTGTCACCTCCAGTTTAATGTGTGTTTTTATACACAGCATAGTCTTTCCAGTCTCTGACATGCTATCAGTTCCTTCTGGAACAATTTGTACAAGGTAAGAGTTGCACTAGTCCAAGTTCCTGGGACCTGGGGGCAGCTGAACTTATCTGAGGTTAGTGGAGAGCTGGCTTGCGGTTTCCCCGTCAGATACTGAAAGACCGGGAGCTTTTAGTTCCTGGTAGTTTGCTGATATTTATGAGAGGCCTTATTTTAAAAAAAAAAGTCTCCATTAGTCTGTTTATTTTTAGCTATCATATTAAATATCCCAGGAGGAAAATACAAGATCACAGACCCAAAAGGTCGGCTGCTTGCTTCCCAGCCGAGTCGTACTGTTTAGAAGCCTAAAAGTGACTAAGTCCCAAGACATTAATATCCTGGGAAAGACTGGAGTGCAGCCGTCCCTCTGGGATGCTTTCCTGAGTTTAAAGACATTTTGCACTATACTGGGAAAAAGAAAATACACATTAGCAGAATCTAGGAAGGTTTCTTAGGTGCAGGAAAGACTCTCAGCAGGACCCCTTAATGTTTTCCTGCCTGATCATAAACTGCAGGCTAGACCTAGGCAAGGAACAATGGAAGCTGCTGCATTTGGATGCGGCCAAGAACTAGAACGGGGCCAATCTGGGCTTCTGCAGGCTCAGAGGGCTGTCAAGCTATGTGTGTATCTATCTTACTGATCTGTGAATAGGGAGGTCAGTGTTGGCAACAGAGCTTACTCTTAGAGCAGATGTCGGCTGCCACAGTCCCAGCCCTGATGTGACTTCATTTTGAGCCTAAATTAGGTAAAAATTAGCATTAGATACAAAGAGTAAAACTTTATCTAAAGGCCTAGAAATGTCATTGTCAAAATTCAGTTCACTGCAGAAAAATGCAATGCCCTGGGCTTGCAGTTTTTCTGTGTCTACAGGGCCCTGACCTGCAGTGCATAGTCCTGCTTCTCAGAACCTGAAATGCAGAGAAGCCTGAACCCACACATTTTCCAGATCCTATAGAAGGCCCTAGGAGCAAAGCCGGCAAGCCCTAAGCAGAAGTGGCCCCTTTCTTCTCTCCTGGAGGTGAACAAGAAGAGGGGTCAGCAGTTTCTCTCCCCTCTACCCCCAAAGAATTCTGACTGGGATGCAAAACTGAAAGGACTCTGGACTGTGTTGACGAGCAGAGATCTGGGAAATGAGCAGGATACGTATTTGTGAAGCAATTTAACAACGCTAAATAAGCAGTAAAAAGAGGTGAAAGGCTTTCCAGGGTCACCCGGGTGTCCAGGGTGAAGTAAGAAGGCAATGAAGTAAGAGGGGAGTAGATTTAAAAATTAACCTGTATGTGAATGTACTCTGCTCAGAACAGGAGTGAAAAAGCAAACAAAGATCAATTGAGGCCTTCTTCCCTCTGGAGCAAGATGCTGACATTTTAGAAGAGAAATTGATTGGTGGAGAACCCACTCTGCTGGGTAATTAAACAAGCATGCTGATCAATAGTCAGTATCTGGGGTTCGGAAGCTCGCTGGCAAGCTAACACAGGGATACAGAAGGCAGAGGGGAATTGCTGCTTGCCTCAGTCAAGGCTGAATCGTTAAGGTTTCTGCATTAAAAGATAAATGTGTGTTCTCCTCACCTCCCTTGCTTTGATTCGGCATAACCCGAGCAAAAGGAAGGGTCTCCACTCTAAGAATTTTTCTCTTGTTGACGGGTGACAGTTGTAAACGGGCCAATTTGTGATTACATGGTTCACTTATACAATGCAATTAAGCTGCATGTTAGGTTCATGTTGCTTTAAAAAAAAATACGATCAAGTTACTTATTAGCTACTTTGATCCTGTCTTCCCAAGAGTCAGAGGGCTGGCCAGGGAATCAACTCCAGCAGAGCTGGAGTTATCTGCTTTGCTGTTTGTTATGGTCTTAGAACCCACTGGGTCATGAGCATGCTCTGTGTATGGCTAAACAACTGCACCTGCCCAGAGATAGTCCTAGGCTCCCCAGATTCACAGGCCAACTGGCCACCTGACAGGCCATTGGGAGAGAGCTGATATAACTCTTCTCCCTGAACGGGGCTGTGGCCCTTGCCTTAGTACGCCCCAGACAATGCTGGGAGATGACAGGGTCGGTGAAAAGTCAGGAAGAGCTTGGCTTTAGGACTCAATGAAAGGGCTTAGTGAGTGGAGATGTCCAATGCCCTCTCTGGGTGCTGTTGCTGTTTCTTAGTCTTAGATTATTCTTGGGTGAAAGCAAAATTGAAGAAAGATTTGGGACCATCACCTCACACTGCACCTGTACAAACTTTTTTGGGATTTCCTGCATCCTGGGCAAGAATGGAGTAAACTGATTTCTTCCACTCCTTGCTTATCCATGAAGCAGAAGCATCCTGGCTGAGGACAATTACAAAGGAAGATGGTCCGCAGTGAGGGATCTTGGAAACACAGCTAGCTAAAACACTGCAAAAGATGCAATTGGTGGTTATTAAGGAAAGAGGCATTCTAGGCATGAGTGAGTGGTTTGCACCTCAAAGATTCACGCCAGACTCATTCGTAGAACAGACTGTAGACCAACTGGTTCCCAGAGGCTGAAAAAATAGGATTGTATTGCATTTTGTATCTTATATTTTATGATAATTATTGTTGTTATTGAAGGGTTAATGACTGAAAGTCTCAGGTGAGTTGGGAAGCTCCAGGCAGGGAAGTTAACACACTGAGAACATCCTCAGGAGTTAGGAGCTGGGAAACTTCTTAGAAGGTCAGCATATCGATAAGAACATTCTCCTGACATTTTATGGCCCCAATACTGCAAGAAACTGTGCTGAAGATGAAAGTCTTCCATCCTCAAAGTTTCCCTTTCTTCCCTGTGAAACCCTCAAGCCCACTGTGCCCTGGCATACAGTCTCCTCCTCTACACAGAGACTCCAGCCCTTCATGGATCTAATGAAGGATAACGTGCTTCCTTCATTAGAGGCAGGCCAATGTCCTCTGTCTTCTATTTTTATTTTACCTCTATCACTTCTGATATAACAGTTGTTGTTGTTATGATGATTATTATTGTTATTTGTGTGTGTTGTGTACGTTGTATCCTAGATGATGTATTTGCCCCACAATGCAGCAGAAGTCAGAGAACAACTTTTGGAAGTCGATTCTTTCTTTTCACTGTGGAATCTGGGAATTGAATTCAGGATTTCAGGTTTGCAAAACAAGTGCCTTTCTCCACCTTATCCACCAGGCCACCTCACTTGCCTGAGAGAGGACTGTGGTGATGGTTGTGTGATTATGTGAATGTACTAAATGTCAGTCACTGGGGTACACATTTTAAAAGACTTATAGTAATAAGTATATTTCATATGCTTTTCTTAATAAGAAAACCTTTACAGTCAGGTATGGCAAGATTATCCCCTGCATAACTCATATGAACATACAGCTGACTACTGAGGTTTCTCCTTGCTTTATAACACGTTCCTGAGTAATGCATCAAAGACAGAGACTTCAAGCAATGAAAAATGCACTCGTGTCCATCCTGTTCAAGGTATCCATGTGAAACATTTCCTGCATGCATGTAAGCCCACGTCCTTCTGTTCTCAGCCTGCTGTGTGTGCTTCTGTCTTCCCCATACCCAAGTGACACTGCTGAGCACCCGAGTGTAGCGAGCTGGACTCTAACTGCCCTTCTCTCTGTGTGCCCAGTCTCAGGAGAGGTTTTCATCACTAGTTCTTTCGAGGTGTAAGATAATGCAGCCCACCCAGGAGAGTTAATACCTCCTGGGGTACTTAAGACAGTTATGCTTTTCAGAGGAAAAATTAAGACAGAGAAATGGCTGCAGTCCCGCATGGCTCCCACTCTTTCCCCTGGGTTTATTCTGTGGTCCCTCCTACAAATCAAGTAAGGTTTCACCTCATACTGTCTGTGTTTTTCAGACCATTAGATATTACTTCTCTACACTCTCTATGGGAAACTTCATCAAGTGGACCCTACTCCTGCCCAGGATCCTGTGCCAAGTGAAGTTCAGCAGGCACAGGAATGCCTCCAAGGCACCTTCTAAATCTGTCAAGGCCAATTTAGAAGCTGAAGTCTGAGACAAAATGGAAACATAGGAAATGCACTTGAGGAGAACTGAGTTGACCTAGGCCTGAACGCAATTTGTTACTCGTTCGATGGGTATCTCCAACCAAATGAGATGCATGCATATCTCCATTCCATGGGTATCTCCAATCAAATGAGATGTATGCACATCTCCATTCCATGGGTATCTCCAACCAAATGAGATGCTTGCATATCTCCATTC